TTTGATATCTGACCCTAAATATGGTGGTTTGAATGACCCAAATGGTTGATATCTAACCCTAAATATGGTGGTTTGAATGACCCAAATGTTTGATATCTGACCCAAAATATGGTGGTTTGATTGACCCAAATATTTGATATCTGACCCTAAATACAGTGGTTTGAATAACTGAAATGTTTGATATCTGACCCTAAATATGGTGGTTAGAATGACACAAATGTTTGATATCTGACCCTAAATATGGTGGTTTGAATGACTCAAATGTTTCATATCTGACCCTCAATATGGTGGTTTGATTGACCCAAATATTTGATATCTGACCCTAAATATGGTGGTTTGAAGACTTGAATGTTTGACATCTGACCCTTCAATATGATGGTTTGAATGACCCAAATGTTTGATATCTGATCCTCAATATGGTGGTTTGAATGACCCAAATATATTTGATATCTGATCCTCAATATGGTGGTTTGAATGACTCAAATCTTTCATATCAGGACCCTAAATATGGTGGTTTGAATGACCCAAATGGTTGATATCTGACCCTAAATATGGTGATTTGATTGACCCAAATGTTTTATATCTGACCCTCAATATGGTGGTTTGACTGACCCAAATGTTTGATATCTGATCCTAAATATGCTGGTTTGAATGACTCAAATGTTTGATATCTGACCCTAAATATGGTAATTTGATTGACCCAAATGTTTGATATCTGATCCTCGATATGGTGGGGTTTGATTAACCCAAATGTTTTATATCTGACCCTCAATATGGTGGTTTGAAAGACCCAAATGTTTGATATCTGATCCTCAATGTGGTGGTTTGAATGACTCAAATGTTTGATATCTGATGCTGATTTGAATAACAGAAATATTTGAATTATTACCTGTTTACTTGCAAAGACTAAAAGTAAAGCATCTCGAAGCTCTCTTTCTGTCAGTAACTTTGACAACTCTTCATAAGATTCATGTAGTCGATGACTATCACTACTGTCAATCACAAATATTATAGCTGTAATACAAACATTGTACAATCTAGTAGTTTTGTTCAAATCCCTGAGTGAGGGATCTTCTGGGAGATGCAAGGAATGGATGCTATACATTGCACAGAGGAAGTCACAATAATTATGTCTATCTCGCCTTATTTCCATTTGTGTTCTACTGATGAATTCATAAGATTGACATTGCATGTAAGATTTACTCATAAACCAACTACTACTGTGCTTGGAGTGCATTGATTACGTTGAAAGTGAAAAACACACTATACAATAGTATTTTCAACTTCAACTGCTCAGAATGAACTGATCACAGTGACCTTGGTCTCTAGCAAACAAACCAATATAAAGTACCGATCACAGTGACCTTAGTCTGTAGCAAACAAACCAATACAAGGTACCGATCACAGTGACCTTGAGGTATGTAAATGAGTCTTTATGTGGTAGTTGATAGCGGTAACTAAGCGTCTCAGTTTTCACGAAGATACGAGTTGAACATACGCTCACTTTCAAAAGTAAGCTACGCTCAGTTTAACATGAAGTTGATACAAGTTCGTTTCAGAGGTCTGGATTCACATGAGCAGGACAATTGTTAAAACTGACGCAACCATATTTAATTAAATATTCAAGCAATTTAAATCCTATTACCTTGTAAGATAGACGCGTCTGGTAATGAGGGACTACGCTCACTTTTACGTGTCATAGTAGGCATGGGACCTACAACTTTATTGTATTTTATATCAAGATCTCAAATGGGATACGATAGCAATAAAGATATACTTACAACTCTGACGTTTGTTTTGTCTTGAGTGTTTTCATTTGTCGCCGTTTGTAAACAACGCTCAGTGACAATGAGTTGTTGCGCACACTTGCATGAAGTGAAAGTGTGCACACATACAAGAAGTTTTATTAATGAAATGTACATTCCCTTTTGCTCATATGTCCGGATCAACCTTCATATATTGATACTACAGCAATGGTAGTGCAAAGTTGCACGTCGCAACATTTATGCATTGTGCGTGAATCATTTCGTGATCGTACAGTTACGAATCAGTTGGCTTTGATTGGTTGACCCTCATGAAAATATAAATTTACATGTAAAATACACATTTGATCGAGACTACATTGGTCGCCATATACACATAGGCTGCTTTTCTGTTACTTTGGTTTATGTTGCTTTTCTGTAGCGTTAAAAATACATTTGAAAACGGTTGTATAATCATTGAGCGTCGATATAGATGCCGACAAATAAAAATAATCGGTCAAAACTAACATCAGCGTAGCATCCAGTTGCATCTATTAAATTACTATATTGTATTCGGTGGTCGACCCCGGCATTTAAAAACTCTATGCATACAATGGCGACTAAAGTGTGCGTAAAATAATTCTGGTTTCTTGTAATGAGTCATGCATGTACTCCCCAAACTGTGTAATTCCATTGTTTTTCCCATGCCAACTTTTACAAGTGAGTGTACGCTCTCTTTCTACGACCTCGAGTTGGACGCATTGCATACAGTACTTCGCATAATTGTACCCCTTCTGGATTTTACTTTTGATAACATGTATATCCATCTTCACCAGTCAAATATACTTACCTTTATTAAATATGACGTGCAATAACAAAATAAATGTAGCAATGTGACGAAACAATATTTATTAACACTTCCTAAAACTGTAGCAAAATAGTGACGGCAATTATCAATCTATTTGTTGAAAAGGTACTATGAAACCGTTCATTTCCTTCAACAGGGTCTGGAGTGGGCATGGTGGGGGTAGTCATTGGCTTTCAATGTTGGACATCGCGTCACAGTGTCAATCACCAAATGCCATCCTGGGTTTGTGACCTCAGCTGGAATTAAAAACAACTCTACCCGTTGTAACCTCGCATAAAAAAACAATCACCAGGTACTGGCATTTTGTCTATAACCGTGATGATTTTTGTCTGAATTTAAAACACAACAGTCACCCACTGTGATAACAAATAAGCCGATACTTTGACGTGCGGCAAAACATCGGAGCTATGCACACACTATGTCACTAGAACGCTTATATTCTAATGAAAACTCAATATTTACTTGGTCGTATTTATCTAACGGACATGGAAACAGATTTATTGATACATATAATGCTTCTCATTCCACCCCATATTTGTTGGGACTCTACTGGTTAGTTGTCTACAAGTGACAGAAACAGACATCTCCATTCATCCATCTGTAACGTAAAACGGAGCCGATCACACAATAAACAATAAGGTGGTCACACTTCGGTCGAGGTGTTAATTGCGCCACAAGACTTCAATTTACAAGTAAACTATCTCAAGCATTCCATTGTGTGGCTCCATGCCCAATTTTGAAAGTAAGCGTACACTCAACTCGCATCTTCAGAAATTAGACAAACTGCGTGAATATTTAATTAAACATGGCTGCTTTGTTTTAACAAACGTTCTCTCATGTGAATATGTGGACTTGTATCAACTTCATGTTAAACTGAGCGTAGCTTTCATTCCAGCATTCCATGGTTTGTCCCCACGCCTACTTTTAAAAGTGAGCGCACTCAAGCATTCCATTGTTTGGCTCATGCAAGTGTGTACAACAATTGTTGTCACTGAGTGTTGTTTACAGACGCCGACAAATGAAAACACTCAAGACAAAACAAACACCAGAGTTGCATCTTTATCACTATTAAATATAATTGTAGCCGATCCCGGCATTTATTTTGCATAAATCAAAATAGTACTCGCAAAAACTTCATGTATACACTGGCAACTTGTGGTTACTTGAAATCAGACATGCGCACTTCTCAGGTCCCATGCCTACTATTACATGTAAAAGTGAGCGTAGTCCCTCATTACCAGTCGCGTCCATCTTACAGTGTCATAGGGTTCAAACTGCGTGAATATTTAATTAAATATAGTTGCGTCATTTTCAACAAACGTCCTGCTCATGTGAATCCAGATTGGATTCTTTAACTTAAGTTAGACCACAGTCCCTATATCAGAGGTGATAGAGGGACTGTGCCACGCTTACTTTTAAAAGTGAGCGCACTCAAGCTTTCCATTGTTTGGCTCCACGCTTACTTTTGAAAGT